CTCCCTCCTGTAAAAAATGGACGACAACAAATAGTAAAGACTTTCTTTTTTTTTGAATGATGGGGTTGAGGAGGAGTGCTAGGGTTGGGGGCAGATATTTGAAAACTTGCTTGAATACCATAAAGCCTTTTCTTGGCTCATTTTCACTAATTTCTCTTGTACAATTAATTGTAAAAGTTAAAGATAAATTTACACCAGGCATGGTGACACTTTGAGAGGCAGAGGCAAGAAGATTGTCTGAGCCCAAGGGTTCGAGACCAGCCTGGGCAACTTCATGAGACTTCGTCTCTACAGTCAATAATAATAATAATAATAAACCAAGTACACAGAAAGAAAATGTAATGTTTTTTAAAGATAAATTTACTATAGTAAGAAATACAGCAGTAAAAATTACAAAGGAACATATTTTGGAACATTGAATTCCTTAGCAAAGATGTACATAAACTGATGAATCATTGTCTTTTCCCCCCATTCCCATTTCATCATCGGGACTTCAAATGTGAATCGCTTTTGGTACTAAAAAACAAACAAAAAGAAAATTTAAGACTGGAAGATAATTATATCCTAACAGTTCTATAATTTGAAACTTAAACTGATGATTTTATTTGGTTTAGAAACCAAACACTGTTTTGGTCAGAGACATTCTATTGGTGTTGTTCTAACATCATGAAATCCCAGAGCTTTCCTGTGGGGTCATCTTTTCTACTTCATTTTAAAAGGACTTTGTTTTTTGATGTATAGGAAACAAAATAATTTAGCCACTAACAACAAAGATTGGTGGAGATAACCTCTAGAATTGATAGAAATTAATCAATGGGAAAAAAGAAAAAAAATCAACAGAATATGTGAATAGAAGTCAAGTAGTACATATTAAGGCAACACTTAGACTTTAACTTATCAAATAGATAATTTTTCTAATGTGAAATAAATTTTGCTTAGGAAAGAATAAAAGCTTTTACTATTAATTCAGGGTTAATTTTAGATGGGACTAGATAAACTTTTCACATGGCAAAGTATATTCTCTTCCCAACCTACACAAACAGGAGACCCCTTCTAAGCCATTTAAATCCCCCTTTCAAGCCATTTAAATCCAAAATGGAGGGGTTGAGAACTGCCTGGGCAAGAGTGGATAGAAAAGCATCTCAGAGGGGTTTTGTTTGCCTCTGGCAAAGGTCATAAACCTAGCTATTCCCTCCTCACTGATCTTTTTAATTTCCCTCAGGGTAGTAGTTCTCTAAGATTTCTGTACATAACAATTACCCAAAGAACCTGATTAAAATTTAGAGTCTGAAAGTCTTGGGTGTGGCATGAGAAGTCAGCATTTTAATAAACATCCTAGGCAGATAATCTGAGCAAAAACACTTTGAAAAACATGCTGTGCATGCTTTCGGAAAGTGATTTGATAAAATTATCAGTCAGGCTGACAAGTAGTCTGATTTAATAGATCTCTGAAAAACCTGATAAAAATGATCACTATCTCAAGTGATGCATAATATTCCATTTTTAGATTTCCAAGGCATTTTGGCTAACAATTTAAACGGATTCTGGAAGCATTATGGATTGACGGGGATGGTACTCAAACAGGTTTTTTTGAAACAATATCTCTAGATCATCCTAGAGACTTTATATTAAAGACTTTTCTCATGCCAAGATTACAAATTTATAAATATAATCTTTTTACATCTTTTTATCCAATCTCCCAACTGTGTTTTAATTCACTATCCCAATTAACTTTATTTTTTCCCCCAATTAGCTTTCTAAAATTCATTTTTGGTGCTGAATAACAAAAGTTTTAAGATTTTAATCAAAACGATTTTCACATCAAGCGCAAGGCTCTTATTTAGGGCACTCTCCATTTGAGACACAGCTTAACACTTTCAAATTTGGTGAGGTATCTTAACCATTTTTTGATAGAAGACTATGGAATAAAATACAGGGGAAAGTGAATGTTTCTAGAAATCATAGAAAACACTTTATAAGTGATATGTATTACACACACACACACGCACATCTTTACATTATATGACATAATAGCCTAGATATCTCATGAAAGCAACAACCTTTCCCCCTTGGAGGGTTGGAGTGGGTATTGGTGACACTCTGGGTCTTGATTTAGATGCTGGTTACACAGCTGTGTTTAGTTAGTGAAAATGTATTGTGCTATATACTTACAATTGTGTATATTTTTTGTACTTGTGTAATACATCAATGAAAAGTTATCCCCCAAAAAGCAGACTGACATTTAACTTCTACTTTTAGCTATTTCACGATGTTAACTGGATCACTTTTTTTAACCTTAGTTTTACTCCTTACATATTGGGACTTAGCTTTCCTCATTTCCTATTTACAGTAGTTAGTAAAATATTCATTTGAAATTAAAAAATATTCTCTAATGACACATCGAGCCAAATTTCTTTTTTCTTTTTCTTTTTCTTTTTTTTTTTTTTTTTTTTTGAG